CCCTCGCTGCGGTCCCGCGGCTGAGCCCGCCGGGCCCGGCCCGGCCCGGCCCAGGCCGAGGTGGCGGGGCGAAGGCCTCAGGGGAGCCCTCGGGGCTCCGGTCTCGGTTTCCCCGGCCCCGGTGTGGCGAGGGGCGAGGGGCCGGGGGGTGGGGAGGGCGCTGACCTGCGCGAAGCTGGTGCCGGCGCGGGCCCCCGAGCTGAACCGATGTCCGCCACACCTGGGAACGGTTTATGGCCGCCCGCGCAGGCGTTTGTTTTACTCTTGGCGAGAAACAGTAAGACGATGAGGACAACCTCTAGTGAACGAGGATAGGGAGAGGAGTTGGTCGTAGGAGACACTTAAGAGGAAAAAAATCAAACCGAAATTTTAAGCTAGCTGCCGCTGCTCGCTTGTTATGACCTTCCCTCCGCGCTGCGAGGATGGTTACTACATCTTTAGGAAGTGGTGGCGAACTTGAGATTTTGTATTCTGAATGATGTCAGTCTCCGGACACATCTCATGGGAGCAAGCGCCTGCTACTAAACTTCTTCTGAACTTAGCTTTTATGTTTCGTAAGATGTTTTTGATTCAACAGCTACAAAAAAGTGATATGCACAGTGACAGTTATTCAGTGTGTTGTTTAGTAGTTGCGTAGAGAAATAAAAGGCTGCGGCCCTCTATCTCCTCTTCGCCTGTCACTCAGCTGCAGATGGATTGTGGTGGGAATTTGCACCTCATTCGGTAGGCACAAGTTAGACTTCTCACAGTCCGAAAGTTGACAGTAATTTTTCAGAGGAAGTCTTATTTTTGTGTTGGTTTTTTTTTGGTTTTTTGTTTGTTTGTTTTTTTTAATTGGCTTCCCATGTAAAGGCACTGAATTTGCAGGTAAAATTTACTTTTCTAAACAGTTCTACAAAGTTGGGCTGAAGTCCAAAAAAATCCAAACAATAAGGAGATAAGTTATTTTGGTTTATTTTGTGTAACCCCTCCATAATCATAATCATACTGTGCTCTCTGTTGTCTAACACTGATGCAAGACTTCTTGAAAGTAAATAGAGAGGACACCCCCCCATCCCGGAATCTTTCAGCTCTGTCTCCCCAGTCTTGTATGTACATTACACCTGCACTGTAATTGCGCTCATACATAGTCTGTAGCTGAATCGGAAGAAGATTGCAAGTTGGCTTGTACCCTGTTGGAAGGGGTGCAGAATATATGGATGTCTGCTTTTTAACTATTTTCTGGCTGGACCATCCCTGTACATATTGAAGTTAAAAAAGAAGAAATTAGAATTTGATGTATTTCGGTCATATCGTATATTAGACGTATGTCCCTTATGGACAGATGAAAAGATCGGAATTACTGTCTGTTAAGAGCTTTCTGCAAACCCTGTTGAGGCAGTGGTAGGTTTTTCATAACTTTGCTTGTGCCTGTGTCTCTTCTGAAATAATGAATTCTTGATGTTACCAGAAATATCTCTGCACATGGTACCTTGCAGAGAAAGACTTCTTTGAAAATGCATCGTAAACATGAGCATATCTTTTCACGTCTAGCAAAATGCTCCTTCCTAGCCAAATGTCATCTTTCCTATTTAAAAAAATCACTGAAGGAATTTAAATTCTGCTTTCTTAGGCTGAGAAACAAGCATTGCTTTAAACACCCAAGAGCTTTGTTTCTCTAAAATGGGGACCTTTTAGTATGTTCTAAATTGAATAAATAGTTTTGAATATTTGCTATAAATCTGTAAATATTTTCTTAATCTGAAAGTTTACTACACTCGGGCTTATTCCTTCCACTTTTACCTCCCCTCAGGGACTTTGCACATAGTTTTATTTATTAGCTTCATTGTTTCATTTTTTATTGCCATCACTGTAAGAAATTTCATCATTCTGACAGTGATGTATAATCTGTCCTCCTCTGCACTGTGCTGTATTCTGCCAAATAAGAGTGAAAGCACTGGTGATTTTGTTTAACAAGGCCAATTTTTGTTTGGCCATCTGTTACCATTCTTTGCAGTCTACTTACCTCCCCAGGAGACCTCTGGTTAGAAGCAAACTCTCTCTCTCTCTCTCTCTTTTTTTTTTTTTTTTTTTTTTTTTTTTTTTTTTTGTCATCTTCTTTTCTTTCTTTGAACAAGGAAGAAAAGAGAACCTCAGTTTAAATGGCTTTACACGACAAGGCTGGTTGCTTTTTGAAAATGGTAAAGTGTCCAGACAGGCTAAGTAACTTACAAGACCTACTGCGCTATTTCTCTCAATTTAAAATACTGTATGTTTTCATGTATATGTATTTAGGAAAGGGGGAAAGCAGCTAAAGCAAATAGCTGTGAAACGCATTTTGTAACAGCAGGTGTTTTATGTATGTTTCAGTTTCGGTGATGGAAACCCCCACTCACAGCACCGTGCACCTGAGCGACTGGCAGAAAAGTTACTTTGCTATTACCTCTGGCACCTGCACACCTGCACAGAAGGCAGATGAATACCGTGCCAAAATCCTGCATATTCAGTATGCATGGGCAAACTCCGAGATCTCTCAGGTCTGTGCTGCCAACCTGTTTAAAAAATATGCAGAGAAATACTCTGCAATTATTGACTCTGACAACATAGAGACTGGCTTGAATAACTATGCTGAAAACATTTTGACTTTGGCAAAGTGTCAGCAAAATGACAGTGACAAGTGGCAATCTGCCTTGACAACAGATAATGTATTTGAATTAAAGTGTGTGCAAGAGAGGATGCAGGCTGGCAAAAATTTCCAAAGCTCTCAGATGGCACCAACAGATGCCTGTGTACTAGCTGATAAAGGGGTCAGTGCCTCTGCTGCTCCAGGTCTTCCTAAACTCGGTATCTTCAGCAGCGCCAAAGAGACTGAGCTCTGTGCTGGCTTAGCAAAATGTGCAAGTCGGGGACCAGAGCTGCTTGAGCATCCCTCATCTTCAAAGGCTCTTCAAAGCAGCGTGCCTCTTGTGACCAAAGCTTTGGATACACTTCCTGCCTCTTCAGCCTCCTTAAATGAACAGGTTCCTACAGGTTTCCAGGCAACTCCTTTATTTGCAAGTAAAGAAGTGGCAAGTAGTAGTTCTCTGAAAATGTCGGCTAGCTGTCGCGATGGACAAAATTTGTCTCTTTCCGATCAGTCAGCTGTACCTGCATGGTCCACAAGTTCTGGAAAAAGAAAAGCGTTTTATGGTCTGGCTGATGAAGGCAGCACGGTGATTCCTAGCCTTGCCCCATGCCAGGCTTCCATTAGTACAGAAACCAGTAGTTTTTCAGGGTATAGAAACAGAAATGAAGAGAGTGGTGTTCCTGGTTTTAGAACTGCGAAAGAACAGCTGTGGGTGGATCAGCAAAGGAAATCTCAAAACCTACCCCAGCGTGCACCAGTCTCGTCATATGGAGGTGTAAAAAAATCACTGGGTGCAGGCCGATCTCGGGGTCCGTTTGGCAAATTTGTTCCTCCAGTTCCAAAACAAGACGGAAACGAAAACGGAGGAGCACAGTGTAAGCCTCGTGCAAGAGGACCAACAGATCCATCGCTGCCTGTAGATGAACGACTGAAAAACATAGAACCAAAAATGGTTGAACTCATTATGCACGAGATCATGGACCATGGGCCTCCTGTCAACTGGGATGACATTGCCGGAGTTGAATTTGCTAAAGCTACTATAAAAGAAATAGTAGTCTGGCCTATGCTGAGGCCAGACATTTTCACTGGGTTACGTGGTCCTCCTAAAGGAATTCTTCTCTTTGGCCCCCCTGGGACTGGCAAGACTCTTATAGGCAAGTGCATCGCATGCCAGTCTGGAGCGACTTTTTTTAGCATCAGTGCCTCTTCTCTGACTTCCAAATGGGTAGGCGAGGGGGAAAAGATGGTCCGTGCACTGTTCACTGTGGCGCGATGTCAACAGCCAGCAGTGATTTTCATTGATGAAATTGATTCTCTGTTGTCTCAGCGTGGAGATGGGGAGCATGAGTCGTCGAGAAGGATAAAAACTGAATTTCTGGTCCAGTTAGATGGGGCAACAACCTCCTCTGAAGATCGTATTCTAGTGGTTGGAGCAACAAATCGACCCCAAGAAATCGATGAAGCTGCCCGAAGGAGACTAGTGAAGAGACTGTACATTCCTCTTCCAGAAGCCTCAGCTAGGAAGCAGATTGTCACCCGTCTAATGTCAAAGGAGCACTGCTCCCTAAATGAAGAGGAAATCGAACTCATAGTTAAGAAATCGAGTGGATTTTCAGGGGCAGACATGACACAGCTCTGTCGAGAAGCTTCTCTGGGGCCTATCCGCAGTCTTCAGTCCACGGACATTGCAACCATCATGCCAGACCAAGTACGGCCTATTGCTTTCCTGGACTTTGAGAGTGCCTTCAGAACCGTGCGGCCCAGCGTCTCCTCGAAGGACCTAGAGCTGTATGAAACCTGGAACCAGACATATGGCTGCGGTAGATAACTGCATCCTAACTGTTCCGCAGAAATATTTCTTTAGCACCGTCATGTATTAAACCCACAATAATTTAGAGAGTCTGCACTTCTTTTTGTTTCTGTCTTTGAAATAAATC